GTGTGTGTGTGTGTGTGTGTGTGTGTGTGTGTGTGTGTGTGTGTGTGGCAGTTGGGTTGTCATATTTGTGTAAGCTGCAGTGGGCAGCAGGGTTGGCGGCTCTTGTCTCTCCCTGTGGACTGAAAGAAGCAGCTCTCTCTCGCTTTGTTATCCAAATGCCAAACAGCTCCCTCCTTTCACCGTGTCGTACAGAGCTGCTCTCCTCCTCCTCCTCCTCCTCATTTTATTGCTGTCCTTCCCTGTTTCTGTCAACGTGCTTCGCTCTTCTCCTTCGTTTTGTCGCTTTTCTCCTTGGATCTCCAGCTATTGTCCCCCCTCCCTCCCTCTCTCTCTGCTTTTTTTATTTTAATCCTTTTTTTTCTCCTAATCTGTTTGAACCTATTTCCTCTGACCTTTTCCCTTTATTTAATACTGTCCTTTCTTTTGTATTTCTTTATATATAATGTGATCTGTCAGTGCAGAATTGTATATTGCTGATCAAAAGAGCTAGGATAGGATTATGTAAACAGGAAGTATAAATGAGTTTGAACACACCTGGCTGTAGCATAGCTACGTTCATCATGTCACGGTTGCATGTAAAACTACATTTTTAAGAACATGGTGATGTGAATTTCATGATTTTTTTCAGCAGCAGGGAGAATAAACAGAATAATTTTAGCAGGAGTTATGTCTGTTACTTGTTTATAAAGTTACTGCAAACACAAAACCTCTGGCAAACCTGGCRCTATTAGCAGGTTAGCAGATGAGCAGAGCTGCTGARAGTTGTTTATAATCATATATTCTAACCCCTTTGTTGTCACACAATAACAGTTATTTTAGTGTGTGTGTGTGTGTTGGTGTTTTCCTGTTTCTTTCATCCTTTAGCCCATCACATCTTCCTAGTGCACGCCCCTCTTTTCGCCTCCAGTTATGTTGGTTTATAAAAAGGAAATCCAGTGTGAAATGGCCTCTCACTGGTGCCTTGATAATTGACAGGCCTGCTGTGCTGCTGCAAGTTTGGAGAGCAGCTCTGATAGGAAGGACCAGGAGGAGGAGGAGGAAGGATGAGTGATTATAGMGGTTTGGAGCTGAAGGAGCTTTAGATAGATCTAAAACCAGGTGAACAGGTTTGACTTTCTGACACCCGGGGAGTGGGGGGAGGGGCAAATAAAAAGCAGCGTTTTGTCAGTTTGTGCGAGCCATCAAATCTGTTTTCCTAGTGATGCTCCAACCTGCACTTAATGAGGCAACGTCTCACCGGAGAACAGCAACAAAAAAAAAAACAGAAAAAGAAAAAAACCGAGCTGTTTGTCTCACAGTGAAGTAGAACGATGAGTCAGCATCCTGCAGCTATTCACACGTCTGTTTGGGAATAATTGCTGACTGTTTTGAAATGCAAATGCGTCTTGGTGTGTGATTGAGTATTAAATGTTGAGTCATGTCTTTTCTAACAGCTCTGTCTTTGTGTTTCTCTCCATCTG